CTTTTTGATTCTTAACAATATTGCAGAAATTAAAAGCATTGTGAGATGATTGTAATATGATCAATTTCATGAATGTTGACAGTGATCGGAACGGAACTGATATGATACAAAGATCATCAGTGTGTGATTTTAATTTAATCAATTCCTATAGTATGCGTTACTTTCATGAGTAACATTACTAATTTTATTTAAATCCAACAATCCTATGAATGCGAAATGAATTTAAATTAATAAAAAAAAATAAAATTAATGATATTTGGAAAATTGAAATTTAAAAAGAATGTGTCTGTCCATTGCTGGAGAAAATTTGATTTCCCTCTAATTATTATATGATAACAAATCTTGAGAATTATATGTTTTCAGGCAAATTTATTAGATACTAGATATCTTAATTTTAGAATATCGTTGCAAAAATGTTTGAAAGCTTAAAAACTTGTAAAATGTTTATTCCAATTGGTTAAGTTTATTCACTTAATTATACTTACGTTACTTAATTGTATTTTCAGAAAGAATTTGTCAAAGTTGTTAAACCAGATTTATCAAAGTAATCAAACCATATCCAGCTTATTTCCAATAAAATTTAATATTTCAAAATTAGGTTTTTGTTCTTAAATAGTTCTGTCAGCTAACAGATTTTTCAACGATAGATGAAGTAGATTTGTTCGAATTTTTAATGGAATCAACGGATAGATGCCATTCTGAGCTCTTACAACTTTTGAGTGTTTGTCGTTGAAATCGTAATGCTGCATAGTAACCGTCACGAATTGAAGTAAACATTAACGATGTTAACTGTGACCATGCCATAACTGTTTCGGTTGGCTAAAATTAATAATTTAACATTTAAATTATGCAAAATTTAATATTATTTAACGTACGTCACTTAAAATTCATTTCGAAATTCATTTGTGATTAAAATAACTAGCATAAATTGGTATAGTGGATAATGTGATAATAAAATTAGTTTTAGCTACGAACAAGTTTAATGACGAATTAATTAATTACTTGATGATTAGCCATGTCTAGTATGATGCATTCAATTGCCATTGCATCAGCTATGCTAACCCAAAAATCAGGTTTGAAACCATATTTTTTCAACGGTACATGTCGTTCACCGTAGTGTCGTGACATTTCTTTCACTGCTGCTACATCGTGAACCTGAACGACGACAGGTTAGCATTTTTACTCGACCTTGACCTTCCATCAACTTTTTCACTGTTGTTCAAATTATCATTCATAATCTTGATAATACCGTTTAACTATCACTCATAATCTTGATAATACCGTTTAACTATCATTCATAATCTTGATAACACCGTTTAACTATCATTCATAATCTTGATAATACCATTTAACTATCATTCATAATCTTGATAATACCGTTCAACTACCATTTATAATCTTGTAATACTCCAGCTCGTCTACAACAGCAATAGCTCTTTTCCTACAAAACCACTATAAAAAATTTCAATAATTTTTTTGATCAATTCAATCAATAATACCTATTTTATGTAATTCACCTTGCTTACAACATTATTCAGGTAATCACGAAGCTCAGCAGAAGCATTTAACCATCTTTCTTTACCCAGAGCAAATACAAAACTGAAAAATTTGAACAGTTAAATTTATAATCTCCCATATTTAACTTTATTTAATGCTTTATTCAATCTTACTTTTTGATTTCTAATTAAAATGAATAAAAATAAGTTCCAATACTTTGTTAATATCTTTTCTCAAATTACATTCCACATAATCTGTGTATTTCTTTTTTTTTTTTTTTTGTTTAACAAAATAACTGTGATATGTGGAATGGATAATATTCATTTGTGATTTGAAAATGTCAAAATTAAAACCTTTGATAATCAGGACGTTTCTCAAAAACTCGCATACATATACGATAACCAATTTTGTTATGATGATTACCAAAACAGGCTTGAATAATTTCACGTCCCTGGGATGAAATTGGATGACATTTGGAATTGCAATTACGAAATGATTGTCGTGATCCGTTATGATTCGATGATCTAATTGAAAAATTCTCCATTAATTGTTTTCAAATTGTTTGTGGGAAAATTTTTTTACTTTTAAAAAGGAAAAAATAGAATGAAATCAAAAAATCGATTTTTAATTCCATAAAGAATTACATCCATTTCTGATTAATTTTAATTTCAGTCTTTTCCAGTATATTCGCGATTGCTTTTAAAAGAGCATGAGAGAATTTATATTTGGAAAGACTTAAATTAAAATTAATTAGAAATGGAATTATCGAAATGAAAAAGTAGTTGTTAGGTAGTATTTTTGATGCATACTTTTCTAACTTGAAAATCAAATAGTTTGCCGAAAATATTTCAAACTTTTTGTGATTCCAATCAAATTTTACAATCTATAAATTTTCAAATTCAAATTCTTTTCAGTTTTCAAATTTCAGCCATATTGTCATTTTCCGCCATTTGCAGAAAAAAATTTTATTAATGGTACAAAATTAACCTGAAATAATTTGGCTTCTGTTTTGATTTCAAATAAATTTTAAATTATCAATGTGTTTATTCGTAAAAAGTTTTTGATGATTTGAATCATATCTTGAAAACATTTTTCCCTACGAATATTCCGAAGAACTCACCTACCTCGTTACCTTTGAACTTTTTTGCATACTGCTTGCAATTATTTCTATCTATTCGCAAAAAATCTCCCAATAATTCGGTCATATTCCTATTTTTTTAAAAAAAATAAACTAATGATAGTAACCTGATTCGAGTTTGTGATTGATTACGCTTTGCGTCATTTCTTATATATTTCGAATTTCTACATTTTGGTCGCATCAAATGTCGCACATTAGTTTCTGAATCTGATTTCCATTTCCTATCATTCATAATCTTCTTGCTACAATGAATCATCATCTTGTCCTGTTGTTCGTAATAAATGGTCGATTTTAACTTTTCCGGAAATGATTCCTGAGAGATTGATAACTGTTGCTTATTTGCAACATATTTGTCGCAATGTTTCATATTAATTTGATGCTTTAATCCATCAGAATCAGATAATTTCTGCGAAGTATCATCAGCCTGATCATTTAATGCATCCATAACCATTTTCTTCCCTTTATTCCATGAAATACGATTACCCATTTTGTAAATTTAATCAATAATCAACTACAGTATGATACAGTATGCCATTATTCATTACTCCATGATGAGCAAGAAAATTTTTCGTTTGATTCTCGAATTTTCTAGAATCATATCGTAAATAATATTTGTAATAAATGACCAATAAGTACATTCGAATTTTATCTTCCTTCTTTGAAATTTTAAATGAATACAATAAATGGTGATAGTTAAATTATCAGCACTAAAATAGGATACTTGATCAAATCAATAATCTCATATCACTTGAACTGATAGAAATTTCTATGGTACCATAATATGGAATCATGATAAACTACTGCATCATTTTCATAAATATCAATCGGTGATTAGTAGGGCGAATGAATAAATGCTTTAACTGGAAATTAGTGATAAGTTGATTTATTGAATGAAGATAAGATGTGTGATGTACTACTTATTCAATAATTCTTATCATTTATCATTGATGATATGGAAACACTGGGAGACAATGTTATCATACTTGTGATATGTAATATCACTAGGAAGATATAAGGTGGTGAAAATGAAAAAATTGAAAAATTCTAACTAGTGCAATCTATCAAGAATGTCAATCATTCGTTATGACAATGTCAGAGAAGTTAAAAGTTAAAAGCTATAATTAATGAATCAATTTAAAATATAATTTTATTTATTTGTTTTTAGAAAAAAAAATTTCTAACTTCTTTTACCTGCAAAAACAAAAAAAAAGAAAATAAAAGACGATAGGAAGCTTAGAATAAAGATTTGCATAAATTAAAATGCATTATTGATTTCAAATTTGAATAGGAAATAAATTTTGACAAAAAGAATTTGTAAATCATTCAAAATATTAACTAATTAATTTTTTTTTTATCTGCTAATAATTAGGGGAAAAGATATTTTCTTCTAATATAATGATTCCCAAATAGTATTCCGTAAACAAGCAAAACCATTGATAATTGACCATGAAGACTAAAGTACGGTAAAAATTCTTTTCCTTCTTTTTGATATTATAATATTACACTCTAAATTTTATCAACAAAAAAATTTTGATTGAAGTTTATTTTTAAATTAAAAGAATTATAATTTATGTTATAAATAAAAAAATCATAATGACCAGCGGTCAAGAAAAAGTTGGTGAAAACGCTAAAAAGTTCTAGTTAAAGTCTTCTCTTTCTTTTTTTCAAATTAATGCAATTTGTTATTTTTAAACCTTACGCTTTATGTTACAAATTAAAAAAAAAAACCCAAATGGTCAGTTGGTCAAGAAAAGATTGAAATTCACTACTTTAATGTGTTCAAATTATCATTGTAAATAAGATGTTTATTTGTTTTTAATAATTGTAAGTAATAATGAAAAAGTTCAAAGTTCATTTTGAAAACAAAAAAAAAGCAAAAAAAATAATACAAAGCAAAAAAAAAATTTCAATAAAAAAAAAATAATGAAATAGATGAAAAGAAAAAAGATTTTAAAAGTAAATTAAATTGAAAAAGACGAAATTTACACAAATTCTGAATTTGTTTGATATAATTATCATACAAATATTTCTTTCTTTCTTTCTTTCATTTTAGTTTGACACATTTGATAAATGTGAAAGTATTATTTAATGGAACTAAAATGATGATATATACATATAAAGAATTGATATTTATCAATAAAAAATATACAAATAACGCCAATATTTCAAATAAAAATAATATTATAATTATTTACAAATAATAATTCTAATGCAATGCACAATTTCAATAAATCATTAAAATGAACGAAAAATAATTTTTGGTTTTGTGAAATGTTTCCTCAAATCATTTCAAACCTTTCTAGCATTCTCTTATAAAAAAAAGGTAATAATCGAGGAGGAGAGAGGAGGGAGAGGGAAAAAAAAACGGAAAGAAACAGTCAATATGCGGAAATGGAATTGAAAGAATAGTACTGTGAAAGTGAACCAAATTATGATTCCATTAAAATTCAACATTAAGATAAAATAACTGGTAGTAATAGTAAGTAGTAGTAGTAGTAGTGATAGCAATAGTATTAGTGATAATAATGATACATATATAACCATAATTATGATAAGGTAAGACTTTAAATTTTATTCGTTTTTTTTTTCTTGGGAAAAATATGGGAATAGAACGAAAGAGGAGAGAAATGAAAGAGAAATAAGAATTATTTTAGAAACATTGACCTTTCAACTTTTATGTTATATGCAAATTTTTATAGATAATAAAAATAGCACCGCTATATTTGGTTGATCTTCGAGTACTACCTATTTGACAAATTTTACTGAATTTTGCTTGAAAAATCGCAAGAAAAAAAAGAAAATTCTCAGAAAATTTCATTGATTTCAATGGAATTTCCTGAGAATTCTCTTTTTTTTTATTCATCCAACCAAATAATTATCACGTATCACTCTCGTAGATGAAATAATCAATATTAGTTTATGAAACATTTACAATTTGTTTAGTATTAGCTTCACGCATGATAGTTCCGCACCGGATATCAGCTTCATGCATGATGGTTTCGCACCGGATATCAGTTTCATGCATGATAATTCTGCACCGGAAGGGATTAAAATTGTGAATATCAGTTCAGCGGCTGACGTGCGCTACTTTTTCAATGTGCCCTACGGAGTGGGTAAAGCTGCTGTAGGTTCTTTGCTTAAAATGATAATTAATTGTTTTACACGTATGAATTTCAGCGAAGTGTTAGAAGTGCCTACGGACCAGTAATATAACATTGCTGATGGATGGTTGATTGAGATTTACGTTTGGAAATTTTAGCCATGAAATATTTTTTTAATGGCGCACTGAACGAGTTGAACAGCTCGAGCGATCTGGTTACAGAGAACCAGTTGATAAGTGATACGTGATTGTTACGTATCTTAAGATTGCTGTTGGGAATTCTAATGATTCCTTCTAAAGCTATGAGCTGATACGTGATACGTAGTTGTTCCATGTTTTAAGATTGTTGTTAGCTATTCTAATAATTCCGTCTAGAGTTATAAGAATTCCCTGTTTTATTATCTTATCATTTTATCAGTATTATCATCCTGCTAACATGTATAAATTCTTTTTGGAAAATTTAGATTGATAAATTGTCCGCGGATATTGTCGAAGGAAGTGAAGGCTTATAAAATGACGTTAGTGTCATTATGGCCTGGAGCATATGAAAACTGAAAAATTATATGATTGTTTAATAGCTTTGCAATGCTCAAATGTATAAATAAATTTTATTTTTTACGACAAATTTCAGTTTAGTTTCAAAAAAAAAAAAGAAAAATGGTAATTTTTCATTTCCTTCATGTATTTCAGTTCTACTATCTTACAATATTTGGATTTGAGTTTGAGTTAAAATTTCGAAATGATCTTTTAAAAATACAAAGCATTTCATTTGGTTTTCGTTTTTTTGTTTTTCCATTTAAATTATTACAAATGTCATTAAAATGAAATTCATACAGGAACAGATCTAACAATTGTTAACCGTCCAAAATTTAAAGCTTAAAATTTACAAAAAGTTTTTTAAAATGAAAAAAAAAGGAATTACAACATTTAAAAGAGTAATTTATTTGTTTGAAAATGACAAGTGTAAAATGATTTCGTCATAAATTGCAGTGATGTTGGGAAAAAAAAAAAAATTGTACCTGACTAGCACACTTTAATTGCACCTGACTAGGTTACTTTAATTGCACCTGACTAGCATACTTTAATTGTACCTGACTAGCTTACTTTATGCTTTCGTAGTTTTATGAATACGTTTTGCGTTTCATTTTAATTTACACATTCAATTAAACATTTAAAATTGGGAAGTGATAGAAAAAGTTGATACGGAAATGGAAAGCAATAAGAGGCAATAATGAAAAGATGAGGGCTATTGGATGAATTCAATTGAATAATAACAAAAATGACCTGAATTGACCTTTTGCTAGTCAGAACTAATTTTGTTCTCATTTCTTTTCCCCCTTTTTTTTTAAATTTCTGCACAATATACCATCAATAAGTTTTGCTAAAAAAAGTATCAGTGATAAAAATAAATAAATAAAGTTTGAAAGAAAAAAAATGGCTGATCTTAGCTTATTCTAGAATTCTGAAAAAAGAAATCATATTGAAAAGTTTGAATAATATTGCGAATATTAACTCCTATGCTGAAATCATATTATTTATAAATAATGCCAAAATTTTCATAAATCTATTGAAAAAAAGAAAAAATCTAAATAACAAAAAAAAAATTATAATTATCCTTATCTTAAATTACTTATTGAATTACTTATAGTTATCTTAAATTACTTATTGAATTACTTATAGTTATCTTAAATTACTTATTGAATTACTTATAGTTATCTTAAATTACTTATTGAATTACTTAAGTTATCTTAAATTACTTATTGATAGCATTTGTAAATAGCAATTAAATAAAAGAAGACAAAAGAAAAGAATGGTATGAAAAAAGCGACTAAGTATAGCAAATTGCTTTGCAAAAAAGATTTGCTTAACATT